GTGTAGTGAATCTCTCCTCGAAACAACTAGACAATGAAACCTTGTGTGCCCTCGGCTATGGTTTAAGTTTTGATGGTTCTAACAAGGGAGTCGACAGTGTTGACATAGCCAGAGCATTTTGCAATTTGGAGAAATTCAGTAATTTGACAAGTGAAGAAGTGAACATGTGTAAAGGTGTCGTGTATGCATCTATGTCCAAGCCTTGTGTTCCAAACTGTCCAGAAAGATTCACCAAAGCAATCCAAGCCCTTAAGAAAAATAAGGATGTACATGTCACTAAAGCAGATAAAGCCAACACAGTAGTGATCTTAAACAAAGATGACTATATCTCTAAAATGAATGACCTCTTATGTGATACCACAACATATTCTAAACTTATAAATAATCCTCTCAACACTGTCAACACCCAGTTCAACAAAAAACTGAAGTCCCTATTGAGAGGCAAAGCTACGCTCATTAAACATCTTACTTCAACGTCCCCTCCACTGCCATACATGTACGGTGTAATCAAGACCCACAAGCCCAATAACCCAGCAAGACCCATCATTAGCTCAGTTGGGTCAATCTCTTATAAACTATCTAAATGGTTAGTTTCTTTACTAAATCCCCTAGTTGGCAACATTTCTAACTCCAATATCAAGAATAATATGGATCTGGTTGATAAACTCAATAACTTACACATTAATCATGATTTTAAACTGGTCAGCTTTGATGTAACGTCACTCTTTACAAAGGTCCCAGTTGATGATTTACTAGAGTTCCTCATAGATTCCCTGGATAACATTTCACTGCCCGTCTCGAAAGACGACTTCACAGAACTCATCAAACTATGTATTAAGGATTGCAAATTCGAATTCAATGGGGAATATTATGCTCAAAAATTTGGTATGGCAATGGGTAATCCACTCTCACCTGTATTAAGCAACCTATATATGGAATTCTTTGAAAAGAAACTATTAAGTAATATTTTACCACCCTCAGCAGTCTGGTTTAGATATGTTGATGATGTATTATGTCTCTGGCCATGTAATGAGGACCTAAAAGCTTTCCTACCACAACTTAACAACTTAGCCCCCTCGATCAAATTCACTGTGGAATTAGAGCAAGACTGTAAATTGCCTTTCCTAGACTGTCTGATACACAGAATAGGTAACACTTTTAAGTTCAGTATTTATAGAAAACCTACTAATGTGTGTTCATACATTCATTATTATTCTGCCCACCATAATAAAGTCAAACAGTCAGTATTTTCAACAATGTTTTTACGTGCCTTGAGAATTTGCAGTCCGGAATTCATCGATGAGGAATACAAATATATATATAATATTGGCTCAAACCTTAAATACCCTAGATCTTTCATAGACAAATGCTTAAACATTACTAAGAAAACTTTTTATAGAACTGACCCCAAGCCCACCCATGACCATAAGAATATCTTAATATTAACATTTCACAAAAATTTCTCACACATTCCTGCACAGCTAAAAACCTGGAACGTCAATGTGGCATTTAAAAACTCATGCACTGTTAAACAAATGTTAATCAAGAACTCCCCCAACAACACAATTGGTTGCATTTATAAAGTTCCTTGCAAGGAATGTAATATGTTTTACTTAGGCCAGACAGGTAAAGATCTTGCAACTAGAATTAAACAACACAAATACAGTGTTAGGACAGGCCAGGAATCCAATGCTCTGTTTGTTCATTTGAGGGATAACAAGCATTGCATTGACTGGGATAATGCCTCCTCAATATTACCATGTAAGTCAATTGACAGTAGGAACATCATAGAATCTAGTCTTATTAAACATACCGAAGCATTCAACATGAATTTGAGTAACGGCATGTACAAGCTGGACAATTTTGTAATTAAGAAGATTTGTGATCAGGTGAGAAGGCCGGGTCACTTGACCATCTGACCTGACCACCAACCGTTGTGTGCTATTTAAAGATTAGTAGGGTCATTACCTAATACCTGACCATTGTGGACCTGGTCTCACCCTCCTCTGTATATATACACCTTGATTTGTATTACTCTCTCTAGTCTGTACTCACCCCTGAAGATGTGAATTACACGAAAGCGCAGGAACTTCGTGTTTCTTCTTTCCTTGTGTTATCAGCATATATATATATATATATATATATATATATATATATATATATATATATATATATATATATATATATATATATATATATATATATATATATATATATATATATATATATATATATATATATATATATATAATATATATATATATAATATATATATATATATATATATATATATATATATATATATATATATATACATACAGTTGTACCCCACTTAACGCAGTCAATTGAACCCAGAGGGTCCCGCGTTAAGTGAAATCCGCGTTAAGTGAACAACAGAACATATGGGATTAATTCCAATAGAAACCGGCCTGACCCCCAAACTCCACTTTTTGAAGGCACATACCTATGTTGTAGTAAAAATAACATCTTAATTTTATGATGGTACATGCACACAATTAATACTTAAGAGAAATACAGTCGCCAAGTTAATGTCCATTCAAATAATGGACTCAACTCCCTCCCCTCTCTCACACTACACTCGCTGGCTCTTCCCTCTCAGAGAAATTTTTGGGGGAAAACCACTAAATTTTAATAAATAATACCTCAAACTAAAGTTAGGATAATACAATTGACATTGCTGGATTCCTTGTAAGACCAGGAATATTTTGAATATAAATGTCATATATTTTGCACAAAAGATAACATAGTTACCTAGAGAAAAATTTTTATCTAAAATTTGTATGTTTAATGAAAAATATATGATGTTTATATTCAAAATGATCACCAAATTATAAGAATTCCAGCAATGTAAATTATATTCTGACCGGGTAATTTGTATGAATTTTATGAGCTAAAACAAATATCTTCAGTTAATAAAAAAAAAAATAATCTTCACAACACTATCTGTCAATCAAAGTACCCCACCTTGCCTCCCCCCCTCTTCCAACCGCGCGGTCAGTCCCAACCCTCCCCCCCACCCCCCACCAATCCTCCCTTCCAGGGTTTTTAACATTTAGTATTAAATAATACCTCAGATTAAAGTTAGGATAATATAATTGACATTGCTGGATTCCTTGTAAGACCAGGAATATTTTGAATATAAATGTCATATATTTTGCACAAAAGATAACATAGTTAATTTGAGAAAAATTTTTATCTAAAATTTGTATGTCTAATGCAAAATATATGATGTTTATATTCAAAATGATCATCAAATTATAAGAATTCCAGCAATGTAAATTATATTCAGACCGGGTAATTTGTATGAATTTTATGAGCTAAAACAAATATCTTCAGTTAATAAAAAAAAAAATATTCTTCACAGGGTAACAGATGGTCGGTCGGTCCCTCCCTCCCCCCCACCCCCCACCAACCGTCCCAAGGAGATGTGTGGGATAACCACTAAATTTTAATAAATAATACCTCAAACTAAAGTTAGGATAATATAATTGACATTGCTGGATTCCTTGTAAGACCAGGAATATTTTGAATATAAATGTCATATATTTTGCACAAAAGATAACATAGTTAATTTGAGAAAATTTTTTATCTAAAATTTGTATGTCTAATGCAAAAATATGATGTTTATATTCAAAATGATCACCAAATTATAAGAATTCCAGCAATGTAAATTATATTCTGGCCGGGTAATTTGTATGAATTTTATGAGCTAAAACAGGCAGTCAGGCAGGGTGGGGCAAATCTAAAAATAGCGTCTCGAGCCGGACACTCACCGCGTATATGTGGAAAAAATCCGTGTTAAGTGAAAGTTCAGCTCTGGCGAGGCACCGCGTGTATATGATAAAACGCGTTAAGTGAAACCGCGTTAGGCGGGATAATACTGTGTGTGTGTGTGTGTGTATATATATATATATATATATATATATATATATATATATATATATATATATATATATATATATATATATATATATATATATATATATATATATATATATATATATATATATATATATATATAATGATATTATATATATGCTATGATATACATAATATCATTATTATATATATATCATCATATAACATATAATATGAAATATATATATATATATATATATATATATATATATATATATATACTCTGTTGGTTGCTGTTGAACCACCTGTTGTATAAATAGTCGGAACACAGTCACACCACCGAGACGAGGGAACACTCCCACCACCGATCGTCTCGTGCGAAGCAAGCGTATAAATGAAAGAAAATACTTGCAGTGTGTTTAATATGTTACAGTATATTATAAATAAATAAATAAACAAATAAATCGGTAAATCCATTTCAAGTAAATGGAAAAATTTTACTCGACACCGACATTAGTTCCAGTTACCGGTAAATAGCAGACGCTTCAGTGACGTCACTAGTGTTTACACTGCACCAGCGGGTAATATTTGATGACATTACTTGAAGTGAATTGGCCTTATTTTAAAAAACCAAGGATGGTTGGTAAAGGACTACTGAGTCAGTGGGTAAGTGTCACATTTGGGGTACTGGTCTTATACAGCGAATAGAGCTCAAAAGCTACTTTTTAAATGGAAATTTGGGGGGCCGTCTTATGCACCCCGACGCCTTATAGGCCGCGATATACGGTAACTGTTCTTATTTTTTCGCCCCCCAGGCCCCGTTGTGGGTCGTTTGACCTGTGCACGGGTGGGCTAATTCCTGTAAAAAAAAGAAACGATCAGCCTCGTTAGGCCTATAGAAAATCTGATTAGACCACACTGTACAGTATTCACTGTGTGAGTGCTGTTCATTTAATTTATCTTTTTAATCTTTCCCATTTCTTAAAATATTTACTTTTTTTTTTAAGTATTTCTGGTGAACAGAGCCCCTGAGAGAGTAAAAAAAAAGAAGCAAATTCTGAGATATTAACATCAGATTTATTGAGATTTTACTGTATTTTGAAAAAGAAACAAATTCTTACCAGTGATCGCTTGCATTCAAAGAATGTTGTTCGAAGGGCATGGCACTCTTGTGGTACAGATGGGTCATTTGATAGCAGACACTCTTTGGGAGTTTTCCTATGCTATGGAAAGGAATAAAGACAAAGTATAAAATAACAGTAAATGAACAATTCTTCATAGCCTTACCTTAACATACTAATCAATTAATTAATATAAGCATCCCTGATTTACAGAAGGGCTGTAAATCAAAATTATTGTACATAAATTTTACCCGATTTCCCATACTCTCCCATTTTATAAGTGGAGACATATTATTACAAAAAAAAATCTTGAATCTACAATGTAACAAATATAGGTGAATCTCATTTAATGCTGGTGTTTGGTACTTTTTAAATTGAGTGTGAATTGAATCAGCACTAAAAGGTGTATACAGGGGATCCCTGGGTTGCGAATGAGTTCCGTTTCTAAAGACGTTCTTAAGTTGGAAATGTATGCAATTTGGAACACATACCCTATGTACAGAATGCCCTGACAATTCGCGGTCATCGATTATTCGCGGATGACACCCTGGATGTACCCAAGAATGTCTAAGGGTAGTTTTCAAGTTGCCGCCATTTTCGTGAACAGGACAGGGAGCCATTCGTTCAAGAGACAGCAATTTCTTTTACCTGTATTGCGAGCGCATGCTGCACGCACGCACACACACACACACACACACACATATATAAATAAATAATAACGGGAAAATTCTCTTACAAATAATTAGAAACAAGACAACAGAATGTATCGAAATGTAGAAAAAATATGAGTTTACCCTCAAGTCAACTCCGTGCTTTATTATTAGTCGAGTTAACCTTAATCACAAAGCACGGAGGTGATGTGAGGGTAGACTCATATTTTTTCTAAATTACAATACATTTTGTTGCCTTATTTCTGATTATTTGTGAGAGGGTTTTTTCATTATTATTTATTTGTATGCATTTTGTGTGTCTGTACACATATATATACAATACAGGTAAAAGAAATAATTGTCCTAAGAGCAAACACAAAAAGGGAATATACATTTCTTTGCACTTGAGTAAAAATGTACCCCCCCCCCCATCAACAAATGATATTCACAGAGTTGGCTATTCGCGGTCATTTTGAAACCCAAACTCACACCAATTTTAAGGGTATGCTGTATGCTATGTCATAGCCTAAATCCTTTTATATATCTCGAATCACTTAATTTAAGAGAAAAGAGGAAGAAATTGAATGACAAAATACGGTTAAGGAAACTAAAAACTAAGGGAGAGTCCTGCTGAAGCATGAAATTTGGTAATAATTGATCAATCAATGTCAATTTCCTGTCAGCAATTAAGAACATCATATACATTGATGCTAAACCCCTGAGTAGAACCCCTAATCCCTAATTTTCCCTTATATTTTAATCAATTTTCAAAATCCTACTTCTCCATAACTTCTCGCGAGATTATGTTGAAATTTATGTGGAGTACAGGTGATTTACTTCTCTTGAACGTGATGATATTTCTGATTATTGCTTTCGTTTTGGGTGCATGAACTTTTTTTCCTAATTTACCATTTTTCCTCCAAATATTTATAAAGATTAATCAGCCAATAATAAACCAAGACAAATATAAAGAATATCAATATGTTCCCCCAAGATGTTATTCCACTACAGTACTTTGTTTTGTTTTATTAGAATTGGCCCATAAATGTTTGAGCCTTAAGGATTTAAAGGTTATAAAAACTTGTTTTGAGATAGAAGCTGATGGACAAGGTTGGTGCGAGAGCAACATGCTGTCAAACAACCTAATTTCTGCATTTTTCATGGATAACTGAAGAGTGTAGGCAACCTCAAACTCTTGTCCTGCTGCTAGCTAGCTGGGAAAGGTGCCAGATACTGATTTTAACCAAATGTTTAGTATTACTTCACACCAAAATACAGTAATATTTCCATAAGCCGGAATTGAAATTTTCTTGGAAAATCGTTCCCAAAGTCGGAATTTTCTGGAAAATTACAACTTTGGGAATGATTTTCCAAGGGGCACATTTTCCGGAAAATTCTGAGAAAATTTTCCCAGTACAGTACGGTCGGGATATATCGCGAGACAGGGTCCAAGGATGTTCGCTATACAGTAGAACGTCGATATAACACGAGATAGGTTCCAAGAGAGGTCGCTTTAAACGGAATTCGCACTAAATCAAAGTGTTGTTTAAATGGAATAATTTAGTTTGATACTTGAGAGAAACACAAAATATTACAAAGACTGACAGTTTCCCCAGATGCACCTCAGTCCATCTCCTAGAATAAACAAAGCATTGTTTTTTTAGTATTATGTTAAAACAAAGACTCATAAATCAACACAGCTAAAATTATGGGACATTAAATGGTCTGTTTACTAGCGATCAGCTGATGGGAAGATGCAGGGGGAGGGGAGGTGATATGTTTGACAGTTGATGCCAAGGTCTAGTGCTTATTTATTGATCTGTCCTTAAGAGTGACTAAGTTTTTCTCTTATAAAATGTCACTGAACTGACATGTTCTCATTAATTTTATTATAAAGGGCTAAAATTTTTATCTCTTGGGCAAAATATATGACGTTTATACTCAAATTATTCGCTGTCTTGCAAGGATTCTAGCAATACAAATTATATTCTCCTAACTTTATTCTGTGATATTATATAAGATAAAAACTGTAAGCCTAAAACCCTGGCTGGGAAGATGGGGGGGGGGTGGATGGAGGGAGGAAAGGGAGGTGACATGTTTGACAGTTGCGCCAAAGGTCTAGTGAAGTACAGTCGGCCCTTAACATACGCTGGTTTAGCATTCAGTGATCCCTCGGTTAACGAGCGCCTCGGTTAAAGAGATTTCGGTTAACAATTTACCTTCCATAAGACTCTTAACTTCGGTTAACGAGCAATCCCTCGATTAAAGAGTTTTTTATGTGCCGACCTCAACATGTTTTCGTTTGCATTTGGCGGTCCAGCTGTAGTATTAGTCCGCCAATACAGTAATCGGTTTTAGGGCTTAAATTCCATACTATTTTAGTAAATATCAAGAAGTTATACTATTCAATAATTTTAAAAATTTAATATTAAATTTTTTAGTCATTTTAACAATTATTGAACTTAATTGAAGGTAAAGACACTAGTTTCATGTGCGCCATCCAGCCTGGCAACACGCCAAACAGGCGCCAGTCTCTCTCTCTTTTCAGTGGAGGGAACCTCTTGCTTGAGACTCTCTTCAACTAAATGCTTTTTTCTGTGTTTGCATGCAAATTATTGGTCATTTTGAAATTTAATTTACATATTGACAAGAAATAATGCAGTGCAGTGTTGATTTAAGGAAAATAATCTTGAATTAAACCAAGAGAACTAAAATTTTATGGGTGAAATGGTGCCATGGGGTGACTTCTCTTCCACCCCAATGCCTTCTCTTCTCCCTTCTCCTCCACCCCCATTCTAATTCCCATCATCATCATCATCATCGAGCCTTCTACGTACACACCTCAAAGTAAGTGTACTTTTCTACCTTTTTTGTTGAATTTAGGCAATTTTTGGTGAGCTGGAACCAATTACCCAAAAATCCATTGAAACAATGGTTTTGGTTAACGAGTTTTTCGGTTAACGAGCAACCTGCTGTAATGGATTGTGCGCGTTAACCGAGGGACCACTGTACACGGATTTGCAAATACGCGGATTGCCCCGCCGGAGGAATATTCTGTACATTGAAGTAATTGAAGTACATTTAAATCGCGCGCCATTCAAATCGAGCGCGGCACCAAACACTGCACACCGCCCACAACCCCACACACACACGTCACGCCACCCCGCGCTACCTCACTCAGTCAATCTCGCTGTAACCACGCTTGTGTTGACATCAGCATTGTAGTTGCAAAAATATTACATTTCCGTGAAAGTATTATATCAAGCACAGTATGAATAGAATATCACTAATATAACAGTATTTTAACCGAAAACTATAAAAAACGAGTAACATATCTTGAACATCGGAAGGTTAGGTAAAGTCTTTTGTTTTCATGTAGTTTATCCTAATTTATATTGAAATACATTACGTTTCAGCAAAACTACTACAGTAAAACCTCGATTAACCGACCACATATGGGGGGAAGGGGCCGACGGATAATCCGAAAGGTCGGTTAATCGAACATAAAGTCTTCGGAAATAAAACACACATTTTCAAAGTACCTTTCCCTAACCTACATCAATTAATTCCCTCTATTCATTTTTGTTCATTTGCCATTCATATTTCAATAGAATTTGCTTTAAAACATTAACCACTTTAGTAAATAAATATGAACCAGCACAGAAACTGTGAATAAAAAATGGAAAAGTCAAAGAACATGTCATCACAAAAATTGTGACCAAGTCCCAGGTTGCTCATCAGACTTTCTACCTCATTTACACACAATTGCAGGGTCTCAATTGCTTCTCTTACTATTGACAATGGTTCTTTATTATTATTATTATTATTATTATTATTATTATTATTATTATTATTATTATTATCATTATTATTATTATTATCATTATTAATATTATTACATTATCGCCCCCCACGCCCCGATGTGGGTCAGTGACCTGTGCCCGGGTGGGCTAATCCCCGAAAAACAAAAAAAATTTTTTTTTTTTTTTTAGGAGTTCGGGATTGACGGTTAATCCGAAAGTCGGTTAATCGAGGTTTTACTGTATTTATTTCTGAGAATTTGGAAATGTAATATTTTTGCTGAAATGACGTATGTATTACAGTGGAAAGTGACGAACACAATGACTTTCGCTTTCTTTCGTTCAAAAGATGTTACCGTAATCTCTTTTCGAATAGTGTTCAGTTAAAAAACTGTTGTATTACAATAATATTCTATCCTAATTCACTTGTGATGCAACAGTTTTTTTTAACTGAAAACCATTCGAAAAGCGATTATGGTAACATCTTTTGAACGAAAGAAAGCGAAAGTCATTGCTTTCGTCACGATTTTATCCCACTTTCCACTGTAATACGTACGTCATTTCAGCAAAAATATTACATTTCCGTAAATGTAGTATATCAAGCACATTATGAATAGAATATCATTGTAATATAACAGTATTTTAACCGAAA